ACCAAACCAAATCTTAATAAACCTTTCTCTGGGTTTCGGATAGGCAACAAATTGCTGGCATGTTTTAAAATTATCAACATATTTTACTCTTCCTAATTCACATAAAATTTTAACTTTTTTTTATGAAATCATGATGTGATTGTTCGCTTGTATTCAAAACATTACCATCAATTATCATTTCAAATTTTTATTATATATTCATAGCTATATTCAGTTTTGAGATGAATGTTAGAGCATTTAAAATCACTTCATGTCATTTGTTACCTTTAATTTAACTAACATACTTTTGATCTTGTGACTCTTTTTGAAGTTTCTTTCCAGAAATCTGCACAATCAATTTTGTAGTCATATTGTGAAAGTTCTTTGTGTGCCTCTTAATCAACTGCCTGAACTTCAGATAAGGTCTTTGCACAGACTTAATTGCGATTCCACTCTTCTACAATATAATTCATTCCATTCTACTTTTTTCTCTTCTTACATTTCACATTTCCAGAGAAATTCTCTTAATCTAGGTTCCTCTCCAATCCTCCCCTGGTTAGTTTTTTCCTACTATTAGCCAGCTTTATTGACAAGCTTCTGAATTGTTGGGTTACTTCAATTGGTCGGTATATACATTTACACACCTATCAGTGTCTTGAATACTTCACTGGAGTGCTTATGTAAAATGCAAGTTACCTCCTTTGATAGTTGCAATGGGAAATATGTATCTTTTGTGGCTCTAGTTTCTCCTTGTTCAAAAGCTAGAACTGGATTCCAATCAAACTGCGTCTTTAAACTCTGAGTGATATGACATTTTAAATATGCTTATACTGTATTTAAACAACATTTATTACCTAAATTCGTCTAATTCATTCTTTTAGTATAAACTTCCATTAAGTTAATATTTAGATCATTTAAGTAAATAAGAAAGCAAAATATTTTAAATAATAAGGTAATACAGAAAAAAGTCCAGGATCTGGATTTGTCAAGACTTCCGGATTTCAGAATTTTCTGGATTTTAGATCTTAAGTTTAATCTAGCAAGATGACATGAAAAATTTATAAAACTTAAAATGTAAAATAGTTTACTGAACAATGAAGCGTTTATGATCTTAAGGTAATCAAAATTTGGAAGGAAAATAAAAAGCTCTATTTATTTGTTTGCTTTATAAAATATTCATTTCTGTGCAAGTTGTTTAAATTACTCCACATAATTCAGTTACAAAGTTCCATTGTTCAAGTCCTATAATTGCAGAGTCCAGAATTCTCATTAAGTTGTCAGTCGAAATTTTTTTGTTCTTAGCAACAAACTTCCTTCACTATCGGTAGTGATATTTTCTACATTTAAAAGGACACTACAGATTTTGAGCAGTGTCTCATTTTAGCAGATCTTTTAATGTTTAGCTAGCATTCATTACTGCCAATGTATAACAAGACTGCCAAATGAAGGCCCGTAGTTCCTCCAAATTTTGTCTTGGTTCTTTCACATGCTGCAGAAGTTACACCTGAACTATATTAGTTTAGTTATTAAATTAACATCCATTTCCTGTATATGCTTAAGTGTTAAATGAGTCCCACATAAATAAATGTCCAAATATATTTCAAGCGTATCAGAATATCAAATCAGTTATTTTTAATTTAAATAGCACTAAATATAATCTGGCCAATGAAGATCATTTACAAAGTCTATATTTTACACAGGGCAAGAAATTTCTGCTAAATTTCTCATCAACACACTCAATGCTTTGCAGTGCAGTTAGCTGAAATCTATAATTGTCACCAAGGAGAGTAATGTCAACAAAAAAGGCTACAAGTAGCCACATGCTGATGAAACCAAAAAATAGTAAAATATTATTGCCAGGTTATGGCCAGGGATACAAGCTATTCAGTAGGTAATAAAATCAGTGATGAATTTTAATGTTTTGGTTTGAGATATATGAAAAGCAAAAAAGGTAGCTATTTAACCAACAAATTATTGATCATATAGATTTAACCATCTGAGCGGAGCGGGTTTCTGGATCAGTCATGAAGACCTGCATTTAACCCATTCAGAATGGATGTATCACATATGCATCAGCAGTTACTCCTCTTATGAGACGTACGGCAAAGCCGTTTAGTGCAACTCACCTTGGAGACGGTGCATTGTTGCAGTAGTATGATCTAGCAAGACAGGATATTTTGCGTCGCTAAGCCTAACTTTAAAAAAAAAATTATTTAAGCATAATTTAAAAATTTAATTTTTATCAATCATTTTCATTTTTTCTGTAATGGTATCTAACACTAATATAATTATAACACGTAATATCAAGAGATTCTGAAAAAAACTTTAATTAAAATCTAAATGCAAAATAAAATATTTGACTCTTCTTGATGAAATGTTGTGTCGAACTTTTTAATCATTCTATCCCAGCAGAATAATTAATCCTAGGAATCCTCTCATTTTAAGCACATCTAGGAGTATGTTGATTTTGGTTGAAGACGGATTTTCATTCATCTTTTGTGCATAGAAATTATTAGTTTCTTCAACAGTTATGTTTATTAGATTATCAAAAAATGGTGAAAAAAATCAATTTCATTTTCATAACTTTGAATTAAGTTTACTTCTGCAATTCCCATAAATTCATAAAGCTTAAATTACTTAACAGATCGATTTCATGACAGAGTAGCAACTGTTCTGCTGGATTTTGAGGTGAAAGCAAAACAAACTTTCAATTCAGTCTCTGAGAAAATTTCAGTATCAAAATCGCTATTCTCACTTAAATCTACAGTTTTTGATGTCAAAATGGTTACTCATGGGCTTGAATGAACACTCATTTGCTTTACAATTTGAATATAATCTTCTCCCATTAAAAAACTTTCTTTTAAGAGGTTATCACATCTAGCAATAGTCCTTGCTAGAAGGGAATTTTCTGAGAAACGAGATTCTGGTAGCACTGACCACTTTCAACCTAACCTTTGCATGATTAAAATTTAACTATGAAAAGTAGTTTAAATTAATGTTGATATATTAAAAAAAAGTGTAATATGAGTTTAAAGTTTTTAACTTTTCCCCGTTTCCTGTAAATCTCCTGGGACAATATGTCCCAATCGTCTGGGATATTACACTTTCTCAGAAAACAACACTAAAATTTACAGAAATATATAAAGTAAATATTACAAAACGTAAACTCTGTCACATGCACTAGTTCATATACAACAGAAATTTTCATATATGTTTCATAAACACAAACATATGTCAGCATGTAGCAATTTGATCACTGGTGGGACATATTAGCCCATTGTTAAATATGATTGAGACAATATATCCCACAAAAAGAATTCATTCAGAATTTCTGACATTAAAAATGTTAAATTACTACTTAATAAGAACAATAAGAACTATTTCATACTAAGTATGCCTTAAATATAATTGTACTTACTGTCACATTAAAAAAAAATAGACAAATGGAAACATGAATAATCAGCATGCTCAAAGACATAAGTGTGCCATCTGCAATCTAAAAGAGTTGCCAGATTTTTTAGTCATATATTTGTTCTCTAATTCCTTAAAAAAACACAGCAAATGTAAAAACACATTTAAAAGTGGGTTTTATTCACCCAAGGATATGAAATCTAATCTCTTGGACATATGTGCCCATTAGGATCGAAAGGGTTAAACGACAGGATTCTAAGAGAAAACAGCTCTGCTGGAAGCATAGTCCTCCCTAGCTATGAACCAGATATGCAGGATTTTTTTAAACCTTGCCGAAAATTTTTCAGCTGCAGTTTTGTCCTGGGTACAGATCAACCAATCAGACGAAAAATCTGCTTTTGAAGGATCAAGTGATCCCAGTCTGAGCAATAATCGATTACTGTTTGGCATTCAAGTGTTTGTAGTAAGTGAAAATGGTAATATAGCAGTTACGTAGGTTTAGCGGAAATGTGCAGGTTCTGAGAATTGCCCCTTTTGATGTCCAGTCCCTGGTAGTGGAAACATACATGATTAGGACTCTACACATCGCAATATTAGTTTAACTCTATTACTCGGTGCAAAAACCTTATGTCTGCTATCTAAAAAAAAAAAAAAGCCAACTGAGTGCAAACTGGAGTTCCTAAAACCACAGCTCCACTCCCAATCTTCCCATAGGAAAAAATTAAGAAACAAATTTTAAGCATTGGAAACTGTTCAATGTTTACATCACGTGAAGACAACTTCGTGTCAGTTGAGTTTTGTTTACTTCATATCATCTGCTCATACATCTAAATTAATGTCCAGAATCAATACTTCACAGACACAAGGTCAACAATTTATTATAAAGTTCAAATAAGCTAAATGTAGCAGAGTGCCATCTAGTCATTTAAAAAAAATTCTAAAAGAACTTGTATGTTTGAGAATGCATATATGCAACACCCACCTGGAAGATTAGTGCAAGCGGCGATGCACCAGTGTATCACCTGGCTGCTAGCGACATTTGCGACTGATGCATATATGGCACATCCGTCTGCAGAGGTTTTTTAGTTCAATAACATGTTGTCATGAAGGGGTTAAACAGCATTTATTAGCTAAATTTGTATAATTATTTTAATCTCTGTTTTCATAAAATTACATTAAGATGCCATTAACATTATTAAAGAAAGTAAGAAAGCAAAGTATCTTTAATTATATGCTCATATGTTCCAAGTGACTAAAAATCTCATGAATAGATAAGGCCCAGTCATGCCAATCATAGAGTCAAGTTAATAAATGATTGTGTTTCTTCATTGAGTTGTTCTTTTTACGGCCAAATAGAAATTAAGAATCAGAAATAATTAAAAAAAGTCTACTACACATGTATAAAGCATTAAGCAGATGCTACTTTTGGAATATAATTCCTTCTCTTTCAGCAAAAAAATTTCTTAAAAAAAATTGTTGATAATCCAGTGTGTGTGTGTGTAATTATGGCAAAGCACACTAGGGCTATCTGCCCTAGGGAATGGATGCCTTCGTGGAGGACTTTCTAAGGGAAACTGGCTCCTATAAACGTTACACATGGGGAAAACCACGAAAACACCCATGCAGCCAGCCCGTTCGCAGGATTCGAACCTCGGACCGAACTATCAGCATTCAGTGACTTTACCGCTCGGCCGCTGGTGGGCCCCGTTGATGATCCAGAGATAGATCATACCAGATATGGGACATCAAGATTTCGGACTTTGCATTGTATGTACCAAATGACAAAATGTCTCATGACCAGATAAAGGGTCATGCCACTCAGAGCTAAAGCTTAATTTGCTCCCTCTACTAGATATCAGATCCATATACAACAACCACACATAAACATATCCAAATTTGTGGGCAAGAAATATTACAGAGAAAACTGCTTATAGCCACTTTGAATGTTCTATTGTATAACCTGTGATACATTGCCAAATCTTTTGTCCTTTTTCAGCACTAACATTTAGTTTGCTATCATACAAAACAAAGCTGTTGAAAACAATGAGTAAAATTTAATCCTTGGTTCTATCTGCTGTCTGATTTCAAGCACAGTACCTTGAGCTATCCTTTGTGTTTTCTGTATTTCCTCTGTAGAGATGACTATAAAATTTTGAGATGATGATATACTGAGTATGAATTCATAACCCTGTAAAAACAATCTATTGATATCACTATTAAACAATTTTGGTACTGTGTTATCTTCTCTTACTCATTTCATTGGACAACTAAATTCTAATAAATTTATGTAAGACTTGCCAATATATTCTGTAACTTCCAAAGTACAGTACTTCACTTTGCATAGTAACACATTTTGCAGCAAACTGTCATGGTAGAATTTGCTTTAACATGAAGTTGCTAATAGCAATAGCATTAGGAATTGCACAAGATTTTAATTGTGATATGAGACTGCCTTTGCATAACAAGAACCCTGAAAAAACTAAAACACATGAGCACCACTGAGACCAGCCATCAGAGTAGGAATGGACATTATTAAAATAATCCTGCAAATGATCAAAAGCTAAGTGGCTAAGCAAAAATGTTGTTCATTGTTTGCAATTCAATGCCCTATTAGAAAATTTTTTGCATTCCCACCTTTGATGTGCAGAAATGTAATGCACAAAAATGGCATCACTCTGGGAATAATACAGAAGTAAATTAGTCACAGAATCCCTTAATAGTGCTTTATACAACAGAATACACAGGTGTTTACAGGCTAAAAGAATGAAACTTTTATCTTATTGTTTCACTAGGAAACTAAATTTAAATATTTATAATATTCTTTTTTTCTATGAAACAGTAAAGGACCAAATTAAACACATAGGAATCAGTTATTGTTCGAGACTAAATGTCACAATTCTACACCTAATTTGGTCCCTTTATCAAAGATTATCAACTGAATTTAATATGATATCAGAACTGGAAGCATATAACTTTTATAACCCTAACATCATTGTTACTGCTCTCTATTTAGCTAGCTTTATTAATTTAAGGTACAGAATCAAGAAATTTGGAAATTCCAGATCTAGTCAAAAGGTTACAGTCCAGTCTTAACACAGTAACTTTATGCACAGTTTTTCAACACACATGCACACACTTTATGCACACAATTTTCAACATAAAAATTCCATTTCTAATTAACATGCATGAGAAAACATTACACTTAAAGAAAAATTTAACAAATGCAATTAAAATGTATTTTATAATATGATGATTATTAGACAGCCAAATCAGAACCAAAATTTTAGAAAACTACCCAATACAAACTAATTTTGGAACATATTACATGCAATGCAGTTAATTTTTGCTATATATATTAATAATTTAGAAATCAGAAAAGAGTTAAACAAATTTTGGTTCATTAAAGTATTAAGTGCTGATAAATCATGCTTGAAATATTGCATGATTTAAACTTAATATTCAAAACCTATCATTAAATTGAAGCATGGAACATTTAACCTGAAGTACTTAGGGTTGTATTACGAATTAATATTTGTTTTTTGATCTAATTAAATGTTTGCATAGATGGGTCAACGCGTTACAATGAGAGGCAATTTCTTCATTTTTAGGTGATTTATCACGTGAAAAAGGATAATACTGCACACTATTAGATATCCATGGTACATTATTTAAATCTATGCTTGCAGAGCAACGCAACTTACTCCAATCAATTAGTGGTCTTTGAAGATGATATATTTTATCACCACTTTTAACGTATTTTACACTTTGTCTATTCTTTTTCCTTGGAATTGCTTTATTTAAGAGAGTAATCTTAGATAAACACTTCTGTCTAGACAAAGGTTTAACATTCATACATGACACAGAGCTATTTGACTGATCTTTTATATCACAGAGCTTTATATTTGGCGTTAAAAATGGACTATTTTTCTTAAAGGAAGTTATGGAAGTTTCAGTTAAGGAAGAGTTTGAACTACAGGATTTATTTATTGTAACATTTCCTTGTGAAAGTCGCGCAAGGAACCGTTTCTCTTCTTCTGTGGTCTTTTCTAAAGCTTCTCTCACAGAATCAGATCTATAACTGCATAAAACTAATCCACGTCTAGTGCTTCTCATGCCATACGTGCAAATAGCATAAGGTCTAGGATGGTACTGTATATGAGGTATTCGTAGTTGCTTATTTGTACTAGTTAAATTGGTAACACTCTCAGAAATTGAACACATTGCAGGTTTTCTTACACTATATGAAGAACCAAAACGAACACCAGCACAGTTTAAGCGTTCATAAGAAACAGATGGGTGCATAGAATTAGTATGAATTTCTGGCATGTATCTGCTCCTTACAGGTGCATTCTGAGTTAATAATCTGTTTGCTGATACATTAATATTTTCATGCTTATGTTCTACTCTTAATTTTTCTGATTGAGTATTCTCATGGAAGCTTTTGCTGATAGTAGGACAAAACCGATGACTACTATAACTGCTTATTTTTCTAATTTGTGGAACTTTAGCATCTATATTCTTACACTGATTGCCATATGTTAAAAAGAAAGTTCCATTTTTTATACGTAACTGAGACTTTGCTTCAGGTTTCTTGGAAAACAAAGACTCTTTTGTGTCTGTTTTCCATATGGAATTTAAGACTCTGTGGTTTCACAGCATTTCCACAAATCTTGCATATTACAAGATAAAACCCATCTGAAGCTGGGCAGAATCCATAAAGACCCATGTCTTCTGCTGGCAGTTTCATCACATCAGTACATTTCTCTGGGAGAAGCTTTTGCTTAGGAATTTCCTGGAAGTTGCTACTGATGTTCAGAAATTCAGGCCAAGTGGTCCACAAATTCTTTTTCATTTTATTGCTCTAAACTTGAAACAAAAAGAATTTATGAGTGGCAACATATGTAGAAGGACCAGTGAATAAATGCAAATACTTCTTAAGAATCATATTACCTTCTTTAACTTTCTGTTAACATCAAAAATAAAATAAGCATCTTTTACATAAATCAGTTATTTAAAACCTGACAACAAAACAAAATACAATAAAACATTTGAGAAAGTTCTATACTAATCCTAAGTAGATAATTTAGTATTTTCAGACATCATCACAGAACATTTATATAGATATCAATATAAATGATAAATTACAACATTCCAAGTTTCTAAAACTGAAACACTGTTGGCAAGGAATATTTCTTTTTCAATCTCATGCATGGCTGATTACAATATTTTTTAAGCATTATTATATGAGACATAATTAAAGCCAAATCATTGTAGTTTATACCAAATTTCATACTTTCAATATTTTTATTAACTCATTTCTCTTAAATGTTAGGTTTTCAGTGTGAAATTACAGATAATAATATATAAATATTTTTTGTTCTAAATTGAGCTTTTTAGTTTTATTCACGAAACATTTCCCACTTACCTGCTGATAATTTTTCTTGCATGCTTTTTTTTTTTTGTGCATGTGTGTGTGAAATAGACATAATATTTACTTATAAAATTTATTAAAATATTCATTTGCCCATCTTTGATGCGATCCAAACCCATAATTCAGAAATAATAAGCATTGATTTTACAAGGCAAATTTTACACAAAATTATTCCTTTTGTCATCACATCTAATGAAATAATATGGATGGTTCATGAATTTTTAGCAAGACAAATACTTGTGGAATTCCACATGGCAGAAATTAATGTTAACTACTTCAACAGCACTTTTTGTTCATTATTACAAATCAAAGACACTTTACTATCAATTATTAACTTGCATGAGATTTCAATTTATATTTCAGTATCATTTTAGCGATATAAATTAAAATGCACTTTCTGCTCAAAATGAGGCTGCAGACATATTTTTGATAAGCCTAATTTGAAACATCTACCATCATAATTTTATTATAAACTTTCTTGCATTATGAGACTTATATTCGTTCAGTACAATGAAATCTGTTTAAAAACTTGTCCTAGACCTACTTTCACAAGTGAAATATTAAAAAGCAAAGCCTTTATTTTATACACTTGAAATGCTGTGGAGGGGCACATTACCAATATTTCTTCCTTTTACTTTAAACATATTTTTGATTTAATTTCAAGGAATATAAATATTGCTCTCTGTAACTTTGCAAAACATGAATCTAGTTGAAAGCCTGTTAGAACTGAAATTTAAAAAAAATTAATTATTCATCGGTAAATAATTATCTCTCCTAAAGAATGATATATTAGAATACGAAAACCATATACCAGTGATTAGCTTTCTTCTGAATCAATATTTTTTTTTCTAATATATCATATTGTACCCTATTGATACAGTAAGCTTACAGTTCAGTTTAAATACTGCACTCTCTTTCCCAAAAGTGCTTCCATCTTATCTTTTTTCTGCAGAACCCATAATTTAAGTTCTGGATTTAGTAATACGTTTGAAGTTCATTCATCAGAATGCATGCCATAATGGATAGAACACTGAATTTGTTTCAATCATCAAATTATGTATCTCAACATCAGCAAAATATTTCCAAAAAATTAGCTTCAATAATGACCTTGCCAACAATGGAATGTGGCTCAGTTTGATTAAAACCTAAATCCTCTTTCCTTGAATTGACTTTCTGGTAATATCTTGTAAAATTGTCGCATCAATAAAGTTCCCATTTTTGCAGGAAAAGCAGGAATCCCATCATTCCCATCATGGCTCTAAGACAACTTCCAAAAATGTTGCTAAAACATTACTTCATGCACACATTGGTTCCTCATTAACATGCCCTACAAAAAGCTTCATGAAATTACATTTCAGATAAAAAACAACTAACACAACACTGCTAACTGCACTTATAATCAACTGACTTATGCACTTTATTTACCCTTCCCAATTAATTTAATAATCAGTTTTTCTAACCATTCCAGTTTTTGTTTTTCAAATTGACTATTAACTGCTATTACTCCATTTAACTAACTAACTTCCAATTTACATTTTCCTTTTAATTGCTAGGTATTCATTAAAACAAGCATTATCTTTTCTGAATTCTATAGATACTTTACTGCTTCACAATTCAAAATCAATATCAAAAGTTGATTTTAAATTCAAAATGTGAATTTTTTATTCATTTAAAGTATTTTTAAGCTCTTAAAAAGAATATCACTTTTATTCTCATTACAAAATAAAATTAATAAAGCTTACAACAAATTACATAAGAAAGCGTTTTATTCCTATACTCAAATATCACAATACACAGTTAAAAAGCAGTAATCAAATGAATGTATCCCCTCCACCCCCCAAAAAAATATTTAAATTCAAGCAGCATTTGTCAGCTTTCTATATCACAAAGAAAGTGAATAACTCAGTAATTATGTAAGCTTGAAGTTAATAACCTCATAAATTGATAAAAAAAATATTTTTGATAATGCCCAGCAGAAATAAATGTGAAACTAGGCATTATTCTTTGTTGGCATCTAACTTTGTCACTGATCCTCCACTTATTTGAGAAAAAAAAAATTAAGGATGCTGCATTTAGTACAGCGAATCCACCTGACCATACATTATAAGCCAGAAGTATAATTAATGACTTGGCTGCCACTTCATATCCAAATTCTGAATTGAGAATTACTATCTTCTAACCATCCACTAAATTGCCTTCAGAATATGAAAATAAGCAGGACATAGTCTCTTGGCACTTGACTATAGCCTGATGTCGTCAACATAAAACATTTTATCACATATAATGGATTAGTTATTCTTAGACCATAAAAATTAGTTATTCTTAGAGTAGCATACACCATTTCAAATTCAGTGAAAATTAATATGTACAAAACCTGGTGTTAGTTCTTCATCTGTAAGTATAAATAAAAATAGTAAATTAAAATTTGTTGTTCTAAGATGTACTAATTTAGTACTAACAGTGCTAATTTAGACAGAACAACAGATATTAAAAAAACTGATTCATTATTATTCTTCCACTGCCCTGTGATTTAGCTTCTGCAGTGATCTTTGCATTAACATCAATGATAATAACATTGAAAAGAGACCAGACTCTCCAATTTTACCCAGATTTGGGATAATCACACAAACTGTAATATGTTTAGAGGTGCTTTCAACAAACTTCTAAAACACATATTTTAAAAAAAAGAAAGAAAATTTAAATAAGTAACATTTATATTATGTAAACCCTTCTATCTGATAATCTCCAAAAGCACACTTAGCAGAAAAAAAAAAAAAAAAAAAGATGCAAACAATATGTCCTCAGCTTGAATATTAATGAATCTTTTTGGCATATTATTATTTTTTGGCCCTTCTTAGTTCTGAAAGAAAATTTATTCATGAAAAATATTTTTAAAGCAATAATGCAAAAATAATGGTAATTTTTCAGGGAAAAAAATTATTTTTCATATTTTATTAGTGCATTTTTGCATTATTTCACTTTATTACCTACTGTAGTTTTCCAAAAATTAGCTAACAGTTTATAGATAATATTTCTAATATATTTCAGGTATAAAACATTAATTGTGACCACACTGAGTAATTGACTTTGATCACACTTAAAATTTTTTCACTACATTTTCTCTTTAAAATTTCCAGTGAAAGCACATTTAAATAATAATTATAAATATCCTCATATACCATCTTATTAATTGGACTAGTATTTTCCCATGCTGAATTTTAATGTTCAATAAACATATATATATATATTAGAAAAATACATAGGTAAACATTTCCATAAATTTGAGTTTCCCTATTGACGTAAGTCAAAATACACAATATTGTAAACATTAGTAATATATTTAGTTTTTGAATATATACCAAATTACTTATTATTACTTGTAGATATTTCAGGTCAAATACAGAATGAGCAAAAGTGTTAACACAAGCTTTCAACACATACAATATTACTACCTTAAAAAAAAAAAAATTATGAATAAATTTCTTTTGAAATAAATTGTTAAAATAATTAATAACACATACAAAAAATAGCTACCAAGCAATATGCAAATTGTAACTACTGACTGCAACATCCAACCATGCTCTTGAAACTCCATGAGAATGTGGAACTTAAATAACAAAAATATTACTTATTATTCTAGTCTACATTTCCTTCCTTACTTTTAAGAGAAGTCTACCAGATGCCTGTAAATATATTTACTTTATGATCATGTATAATTAAAAGGAACTTGGATAAATCTGTACTTGCACAAACTTGTGAAACAGTTGCATTTGTGAAAATTTAAGTTAACTCCGGAGCAATTCAGGCTAAAATTAGTTGGGCACAAAAATGTACTGCAAAGTTCACGGAAATATAACTCTTTTGAACTAAGCAATTACTTTGAAGAGTGGGTGTTATGATTATGTATTAATTAATTTACTGCTTTTAAAACCTGATCACTGCAGATCAATTAATGAAGAAAGTCCACTTTGCAATACATGAAGATTTCATTGATGAGTGGGCTAAATTAAGCAAGCGATAAGATTTAGAGGAGAGGAACGGAATACAAAAATCAGGATAGAAAATATAAGAAATAGTAATCTAATAAAAATATTAAAAAATACATAAGGTGAATTTAAAATATAGCTAAAAAAATTAACTGTATAAAAAACACAAATTTTAAGGCATTCATTCCTACGGCACTGAGTGAGTAACTGAAGTCTAGGAATTCCAGGCAACAGTCTGTGAAAATACTCAGCGGAATAAAATCTCTAAAGTAACAATAAGGATTTAGTCTATTTAAAAATTAAATATGTTTCTAATGTTCAGAATATGGCCACCATCTTGCCATTAAACTGCCTTAAGCCAAAAGTCATTTCTACATGTAAAAAATGAAATCAATCAGGCAATATGCAAAAAACTGTCAAATGAAAAACATATCATAATAGTCTCACAA